TGAGACAAGGGTTTTTACTTTCTCCACTCTTACTCAATATAGTACAGAACAATAAGACATGAGAAGGAAATAACAGGGAAGTAAATAAGACAGGAAGAAGTCAAGGTGTGTTTGTTTGCAAAAGACATCTTTTTACACCTGAGGAAATTTAGCTCAGTGTGATGGTCCTCATACTGGGGAGCAGAAGTAGGCCAATCTGTGTGAGTTAGAGGTCAGCCTGCTCCACATGGAAGTTCCTGCCTAGTCAGGATTTAATAGTGAGGCCTTGTCTCCAACAAACCAACCAACCAACCAACCAACCAACCAACCAACCAACCAACCATCCAAACAACCAACTAACCAACCAATCTAAAAACTCCACCAAAAAACTCAGAATGGATAAACACCATCAGCAATGTAGCAGGATACAAAATTAATAAAAGAATTAGCAACCTTTATATATACCTATGACAAACATGCAGACAAAGAAATTGGGGAAACCATCCCATTTAACATACATACATACACACACACACACACACACACACACACACACACACGCAGGATCCCAAGCATTTAACACACACACTAAAACAAAGAGTAACAAAACAAAAAATCTTACCTTAGAATAAGCCCAACTAAAGAGGTAAAAGAACTCTTCCATGAAAAGGCTAAAACACTCAACATTCAAGAAAGGAACACTAGAAGATGGGGAAGACATCCCATGTTCCTTGATTAGAGGAATTAACATTGTGAAAATGGTGACACTTCCAAAAGCAGACTCCAGTTTCAGTGACGCCACCAATCAAATTTCATCGTCATTCTTCACAGAACAGAAAAAAAAAAAAACTCTTAAAGTTGTTTGTAAACACAAAAGTTCCCAGATAGCCAAAGCAATCCAGAGCAGAAAGAATAAAGCTAGGTGTGTAACCGATCTGATTTCAAGTTGTACTCCAGGACTCTAAAACAGCACAGTATTCACACAAAACAGACATGATCTGTGGAACTAAGGACATAGATTCTATCTCTCACAGCCACAGTCACCTACTTTTTCTTTCAACAAAGATGCTGAAAATACTAAATGCGGATAAGTCAGCCTCTTCAACAAGTAGTTCTATGAAAACTGGATGGCCACATGTTGAAGACTGAACCTAGGACCTGTAAAAAATCACCTCCAAACATACCTAAGGCCTGACTGACAGACCAGAAACCCTAGAATTGTTAAGGAAAAGGTAAGAAGAATACTTCCAGACATGGGCATAGACAGGGACATCCTCACTTGGATTCTAGTCATGCAAGGAATAGCCCAAATTGACATACTGAACCTGATGAAATGTAAAAGCTTCTACTTAGAAAAAGAAATAGTTAAGCAAGTAAAGAGACAGTCTACAGAAATCTTTGCCAATTATATACCAGAGTATTAGTATATAGAATATATAAACATAGAAAGAAACCTATGCAACAAGAAATCAAACAATCCAGTCAATAAATGGGCTAATGATAAGCGCATACAGTTCTTAAAAGATGAAGTACAAAGAACAGGCATATACAAACTGTCCGACATTACCAGATACCAGTGAAGTGCAAATAAAAACCACATTGAGATTCCATCATCACTGAGTCAGGATGGCATAAGGAAAAAAACCAACAAACAATATAAAAAGCAAACAACAAGGAGAACTAGCAAGTGGTTCAGAGGTTAACAATGCTCCTCCTGTGCAAGTCTGATGACCTGAGTTTGATTCCTGGGTCCCAAAGTGGAAGGAAACAACCAATGCCTATGCATTCCCCTTGACCTCAACACGCGAACTGTGGCGGGTGTGCACATCGGTACACATAAAAACACACTACTACTACTGCTACTGCTACTGCTACTAAAAGATTTAAATGGCCGAACTAGGTAAGGTGGTGTACACATGCAACTTTAGCATTCAGGAAGCTGAAACTGGCAGATCACTACAGCACAGGAGTTCAAGGCCAGCCTGGAAAGCACAGCAAGAAGTTCATCTAAAATAAAGACGTCAATGAAACGATTTCTAATGACATCCTGCGATACTCATAGGTATAGATATATATAGATAGGCTGAGCTGACAACCACGGAGCCTGTATGGGACTGATCTAGACCCTCTGCATATATGTTATAGTTATATAATTTGGTTTTCTTGTGAGAACCCTAATGGTGTGAGCAAGGCCTGTCTTTAACTATGTTGTCTGCTTTTGGGACCCATTCCTCCTACTGGATTGCCTCATCAGCCTTGATAGAAGAGGAGGTGCCTAGTCTCACTACAACTTGATATACCATGGCTGATGGCAGTGGGATGCCCACCTGTATCTGAAGAGAAATAAATAGTGGAGGAGTGGATGGGTAGTGGAATAGGGGGAGGGGCTGGAAAGAGGGGAAGGAGGGGAAACTTTGTGATGTAAAAACAAAAAAAACCCCAAAGTCAAACAAAACAGAAAAAAAAACCCTCAAAGAAGACAAAAAAGGAACAAAAGAAAATGACCCCAAATAAAACCAACATTTATTGAGAAAATTAAATCATAAGGTTGGGGAAATGGCTTAGGGGCTAAGAGGTGCAATTGCTCTTGCAGAGAACCTGAGTTCAGTTCCCAGCACTCACATCAATCTTGAACTCTAGTTCCAGGGCATTGGGCACCTCTTGCCTCAATGGACAACTGCACTCATGTGCACCTACCCACTCCTCACCATCACACATGCACACAACTGAAAACAACACTAATAAATCCTTTTTAAAAAGAACATCAAATCCCTGCAAGATGCTTCTTCCTCGGTTTGTTGGACAGGCCTCTGTGTGATACCTCAGGACTGAAGTGCATGGTCAACATGTGGAGGCATGAGGTTTATTTCTCCCTCTTGAGCCCTGGGAAATCCTGATGAGTTTGCTTCCCCTGTGACATCACCCTCTGTCTGTTCATAAAGTGAGGTGAACTTAAGACAAACAGCCATCCTACAAGGTTTTTCTTTTTTTCCTTTAGAGGTTAGATTTTAAGTTTTTTCCTCTTTTTTATTACTTTTTAAATAATATTAATCAAAATTCCCACCTCCCTTCTACTCCTCCACACACCCGTTCCCCCACCCCCCTCCAGTTCTAAGAGAGGGCAAGGCACCTTGCCCTGTGGGAAGTCCAAGGCTCTCCTTGTTACTTTCAGGTTTAGGAAGGTGTGCATCCAAAGAGAATAGGATCCCCAAAAGCCAGTACATGCAGTAGAGACAAATCCCAGTGCCATTATCATTGGCCCCTCAGTCTCTCCCAATTGTCAACCACATTCAGAGGGTCCAGGGTCCAGGCTCATTCAGCCCCAGTCCAGCTGGATATGGTGAGCTCCCATTATCAGGCACACTGTCTCAGTGGGTGGACCAACCCCCTCGTGGTCCTGACTTCCTTGCTCATATTCTCCCTCCTTCTGCTCTTCAACTGGCCTTGGGAGCTTAGTCTAGTGCTCCCATGTAGGTCTCTATCTCCATCCGTGGCACTGAAGTTTCTGTCCTAACAACCCTCTGCCTGATGTTTACTTAACCAGTTCCTTTCCTTGACATTATAATGACAAAACACATTGTGATTATTCTAAACTTGAGCGTCCTTTCTGGCCTTTGTTAACAAGTTTCCATAATGCAGAGCACATAATTTAGTAATTAATCCTTGTTTTACTGCACAAAGTAACTCTTACCATTTCTAGACTGTGGCGACATATGCGGTGATCAAGATGGCATGGGCGTCTTAGTAGCGTTCTCAGAGTTACACTAGAGTATGTCCCGTGCATTCCTCTTGCTCCTCCATCCCTCCAGATGCTGGCTAACCTAACAGCAGCTCCGCTCCTGCTGCCCTTTGCAGTTCTCTGGGACCTGGCCCACACAACTCATTTATTTTCAGTGAGCCTCAGGGCTCCCTTGCCAGTGCCAAGAGTAGTTAGCTCACAGCTGAAGTGGATGATGTGTGCTCTTATCACTTCCTTCCAAGCTTTCCAAAAGAGCCCCCTGGGAAGCGACTGGCCTAGTCAAGAACGGAGAAGACCTGGGAGAGAAGCTGCAGTCTCAGCTGACGAGTCTAGCTGTGTGGCCTGTCTACGGAATGAGAAATAAATCCGTCCCTGATTCATAGGACTGTTGTGGGGTTAACATGAGATGCTCTTGAACCCTGTACCCACCATACAGAACAAGCTGAAAAGGAAAAGAACCCCAGCACATTTTTTCAAAGACATTGTTAAAATTCAGGTAGGTAGCCTGAATTTTTGATCTCTCTTTTTAAACGTTCCTCTAGTGCCACTGAAATATTAATTTGGTTAAAACTAGGTGCTGTCTCTTCGTTTGCTGTACTCTTAAGTATATCTCTGATTTTAACTTTGAAGGAGTGAAGTAAGTCTTCTATTAGCCACAGTGCCCACCAAAGGTAGTGAGAAAAACAGACATTCAATTCATATTTTTATCTTAAAAACAACAAAAAAATATTGCTGCCGCGTGCAAAGTGTACTAAAATCTTCCAAGAGCAAAGGAAACCGTTGTTCCAGATCTCTTCTGAGATTTGGTGGTTACTTTTTAAAGGCCGCTACGGCAAGAATTTGCTAGAGAACAAGCCAGGTGCAGCAGTCTGAAAGCGAGCCCATTACTGAGAAATGATTGTAAGATGATGATTCTTCTCCTCTAAAGTCAGACTGAGGTTCAGAGTTTGTCATCCTATCTAACTAACCACAGTGACTCAGGAGCTACAAGGCACGAATCTGAGCTTACTGCTGTGCCTAAAGAAGGGATAGCGGAGGACTCACTGAATCAGGCGTGGGGAATGCAGAAGACAAGCGGCTCTGTACCCATTCTGAAGATCAGGAATCTAATCTTTCTCTCTCCTCTCCTCTCTCCTCTACTTCTAAGACAGCACCTCACTATAATGAATCCGTGATGCCTGACTTAGTTTCCAGAGTATGGGACGGGTCACGGATGGCCCCCAGGTGTGGCTCCCCGCCAGACCCCCCCCCCCCCCCCCCCCGTCCCGTTAAGAGCACCAACCATTATTCTCATCCTAGGGAAGCCTGCGAGGCTCAGGATAAGGACCAGCCAGTATCCTAGGGTGAAGGGAAGTCCGACTCTGGACCACGGAGTCGCGATGCCTCCTTACCGGGTTCCTCGTTGCCACTAACCAGAGGTATTCATTCCCGCGCACAGGACGCGGAGAGGGATCCCGGCAAGCCCTGGCCGAGAGCCGCGCCACCCGCAGGAGTCCTCGCCGTAGCGTGGTCCCCTGTGCTGTGACCACGGCAAGTACCCCTGTGGGGGTGCCCGGAGCTTGGGGAAGTACCTCTTGCGCTCTCACCACGCCCTCCGCGAGCCGCAGAGGGAGGGTTTAAAACTAAGTGACAAAAGAACCTATGCGTGTGACCCTGGCACTAGCGCCCCGCGTGCTTAGCGTGGTTCTGAGAAAAGAGGGAAACCGCCCAGGGAGGGCGGCATGTGCCAGAAAATGACTAGGCTGACGCGCGAACCGACCCAGAACCACTTAGCAACTCATTAACTAACATCTCATTTATTTAAATGTCCCTTTAAGGACATACAAACAGAAGGGGAGCTTACAACAAAATACATTAGGTAAAATATTTCTTATCTGCGTTCATACTGAGAATCTAACACGCCTAACTAAACGTTTTTCTTTCCCTCATTATCAGCCGATGAATAAAGCAGAACTTCCGAAGCCTGTGTGTGCGTTGCTGCTGTCCCAGGGTCCTTCCCAGTCCGCTACACCCGGACCTCCCCCCCTCCCCCCCGCCCAGCCCAGACCACAGGCCCGACTTAGACTTCAGTTTTTCTGCCTTCTAATTTGCCTGTGTAAATGTTGGGAAAAGTGCACCTCTCGAATCTACACCTTGCAAGTAGATTGTGTCGCATCTAATTTGCGTTCTCCAGTAAGTTATGTGAAAGCTACAAATACAGCTTTTAAACGTCAGAATCCAACTAACAGTCGTGAAAATCATTTTTAACAAAGTTAACGGAATTGCCTCAGTCTAAAGTAAGTATGTAAAACAGGTGTAGTGTTTCTCACCTCTAATCATAGGCAGGAGGGCTTCAGAAAGTTTCACGACGAATTAAGCCACTAATTAGTTTTACAGGAACAAATATTTCAAATCTGATGATTTTTCTATAAGAGTGTCCATAATATGCTACCTAATTTTTTTCTGCAAAACATTAAAAACCCAAATATATAAGTTTTGTGGTGTCATTGAAGTAGTTTTAACACCAAGTGAGAATAAGCTAAATAATAAAGAATAAGCAAATATGCAGTAGCTTCGGGTTAGTTGAACTGACAGTTGGTGATATCAGAGATGATATATAAAAACTATGATGCCAAATATTGATGATAAACTCTATGCTTTATGGGTTAGGTTCTCTCTCTCTCTCTCTCTCTCTCTCTCCCTCCCTTCCTTCTTTCTTTCCTTCCTTCCTTTTTAAAGACTAATTTATTTAGTATATATACATTGTTCTATTTGCTGGCCAGAAGAAAGCATCAGCCCTCATTATAGACAGCTGTGAGCCACCATGTGGTTGCTGGGAACTGAACTCAGGACCCCTGGAAGAACAGACACTGCATTATAACCTCTGAGCTATCTCTCTGTCCCGAGTTAGGTTATTTTTCAATAATTGTATTAGCTTATTAGTTGGTCATCTATGCATATATAATGAAAAGCAGCTGAACGTACATGGGAACTGTGGTCTTAAAAATCCCTATGTTGCTGGTCAGTGGTGGCTTTAGCCTTTAATCCCAGCACTCAGCAGGAAGAGACAGGCGGGACTCAGTGAGTTTGAGGCCAGCCTAGGCTACAAAGCAAGTTCCAGGAGAGCCAGGGCTGTGACACAGAGAAACCCTGTATCAAAAAAACCAAATCAAAGCAAACCAAACAACACAAAAAATTCAAAGCAATCCCTTTTTCTTCTCTGCAAGAGTATAGTCTAAAATGCTGAAAGACCACTGGTTACCAACCTCCATCTACCTTACAGCATTACTCACAGATGCCCATGGCTTTAAATGTCACTGAGACATTTTATTTACCTCAGAAGTAAGACATGAGAGTTTAAGAGGCAAGTTTAAACATGTTCATGAAGCAAGTTCATCAAATTGGGAGAATACAACCGTCTTTGGTTTTTCTTTCTCCAGGGGCAACTCAATCGGATGATCTTTCTTACATAACATGGAAGACTGTTCCCCATCTATTTCTGGACCTATTTCAGGTCCAGAAACTTGTGCTAGTAGTTATGCATAAGAATGCTTCTCTCATCCAACTCACTCCCTAGGTTTTCAGTTCCTTAAGTACAAGGATCCTGTTGCACTATGTCTGCTCTCTTGCCTCCAGCACATGGCACAATGAAGGGCACAGGGCAGGAAGCTCAATAAAGGGTTACTGAGCTGAATTAGCTCTTTTTCAAAGAGCTCTTTGTTCATCCCAAATCCTAGGTATTTATTTTGGATTTTTAAAACTTTCAACAGAGTTAAAAGGCTGTTGAACAATGACAATATTCTTAGCAAGTCTGGGACCCTTGCATCAGTGCAGAGCTTTCTATTTTCCTCCCTCCATTCTCTTCTCCCTCCTCACTGTAGGTGGCTGCTTGCCTAGTGAGAAAGGAAGAGAGGCTTGCTGGGGTGCTGTCTAAAGAGCAAGTCTAAGGCACTGGAGGTGGTTCGTGCAAGGCAGCAGGAGCCCAACATGTGAACCAAAATGTCAGCCTATGCCTGTGACACGGCTTTTTGCAAACGAGAAACTCAGCTAAGTGCATAACCACAGTGACACTGACAGAGGCTTTTCTAGGAAACACTAGCTCAGTTTCCATTCCTGGCATGTTTTTATTCCTTCAAATGTCTATTTTGGCTCACTGCTGACACTAAGCTTCTTGAATGTCCTTACTTGGGCATTCTAAAAGTAACTGAGTCCTCTATCTAAAATGCCCCTAGGATAAATATTAACAGGTGCTTTCTAACATGGAGATTGCAGATATTAGCTAGTGCTGCTACTAATAAAGCATGGTAAGAAAGTGTGGTGGCTCCATAGGGAGCCATATATCCAAATAGATAAACCTGTGGGGTCCATTCTCATTCAAACCACCATAGAAGGTGTTTAATATTCTATGAACAATGAGACCCAGATCTAAAATCCACTCCTGCTTGTTTCCTTGCAACAAAATAGAAAAGTTTTATTATTTTATTTTTAAAAATAAAAAGTTTTATTTTTAACAATACTCATTAAATTATTGGTTTTACTCACCACTCCATTGTGTTAATTCAACATAACTCCTCAATATGCTTGTGATATCAAATATTAGAAAGACTATATATATATATATATGTATGTATGTATGTATGTATGTATGTATATCTTTTGGATTTTTGAGACAGGGTTTCTCTATGTAACATTGAATGTCCTGGAATTCTCTCTGTAGACTAGGCTGGCCTTGAATTCGGAGATCTGCCTACCTCTGCTTCCCAAATGCTGAGTTTAAAGGTATGTGCCACCAATGCCCAGATAATATATGTAATCTTACATATACATATGTGAATAATCAGATTCTAGTAAATTCCATTCTTAAAATATAATCTTAACATTTATTTATTTGTGTATTTATTTACTTTTTATTTATTTTTCTCTCCTACCTCCTGACAGCAGTTTTCTCTCTTACTCTACCTGCTCCCCCACCCCCAGACCTTACCTATTCCCCAGAGACACTCCTCCTCTGTTTTCCTTCAGAAAATAGCAGGTCTCCCACAGATATCAGTCAAACTTGGAATAACAAGATACAATAAGACTGGGCACACACTCTCCTATCAAGGCTGGATGAAGCAACCCTGTAAGAGGAAGAGTTCCAAGAGCAGGCAAAAGAGTCAGAGATACCTCCACTCCCACTGTTAGAAGTCCCATAAAACCACTAAGCTAAAAATCTAGCATATATGTGAGAGACTTAGTTCAGACGCATGTAGGCTCTGATGATTGTTGCTTCAGTTTCTGTGAGCCCCTATGAGACCTGCTTAGTTGATTCTGTGGGCCAAGTTCTCCTGGTGTCCTTGACTCCTCAGACTTCTACAATTCTTCCTCCCCATCTTCACAGGAGTACCCAAAGCTCCAAGGTTTCTCAGATGTCCAGTTCCCACTCTTACCCCATCCCCATTCCTGGTCATCCAGGCACAGTAGAGCATGGGTTCCAATGCAAATTGGCTCTCAAATCAGACCAGTTATTAGTTGGCCAACCCCACAAGTTCTGCAGCTCCATTGCCCCAGCACATCTTGCAGGCAGAAGGATAGATTTTAGGTTGAAGGTTTTGTAGCTGGGTTAGTTTGTACCAGTCCCAACAGTGGAGTCTTCATATCCTTTACTGGGTGTCTATGGTGGTTTGAATAGGAATGGCTTCCATAGACTTATGTGTTTGAATTCTTGGTCCATAGGGAATAGCATTATTAAGAAGGGTGGTCTTATTGGAGGCAGGATTTGAAGTCTCATAAGCTCAAAGTATTCCCAGTGTGGCACACAATCTCCTTCTGTTGCCTGTAGATAAAGATGTAGGACTCTCAGCTACCTCTCTAGCACCATGTCTGCCTGCATGCTACCACGTTTCCACGACAGTAATGTAATAAACCTCTGAACTGTAAGACAGCCTCATTTAAGTGTTTTCCTTTATAAGAGTTGCCATGGTCATGGTGTTTCTTCACAATAGGAATATAAACTAAGACAGAGTCCTCAATAAGGTGATCCTTATAGACTCCTGGGAGTTCCTACTGTACTTGGTTTCCACATCGCCCCTTCCCCAGCCCCCTCCAGTTCTAGTTGTCTCTCCCCAAACTGTTTCCTTCTATTCCTCTCTCAAACCTGATTCCTCCTGGGAATGAACCCATTCCCATCCACCCAGTACACCTGCAAGAAAATCTGTTCTATTTCACCTTCCCAGGGAGATTCTTGTATCCCCCCTTAAGCTCTTCTTGTTCCTTAGCATTTCTGAATCTATGGATTGTAGCATGATTATCATTTACTTAGCAGCTAATATCCACTTATTAGTGAATACATATCATGTTTATCTTTCTGGGTTTGGGTTACCTCACTCAGGATGATTTTTTTCTAGTTCTATCCATTTGCCTCAAAATTTAATTATGTCATTGTTCTTAACAGCTAAGAAACACTTCATTGTGTTCATGTACCACATTTTTTAAATCCATTTTTTGGGAGGGACACCTAAGTTGTTTGCAGTTCTGGGCTTTTATGAATAAAGCCACTATGAACATAATTGAGTAACTGTCCTTGTGATAGGATGGAGTGTCCTTTGGGTATATGCCCAAGAGTGATAAAAGTGGGTCTTGAGGTAGATGATTCCCAATTTTCTGAGAAACTCCCATGTTGATTTCCACAGTGGCTCAACAAGATTGCATTCCCACCAGTAATGGAGGAGTGACC